AACTTCCGCCGGCGATTGCGGCTGATTCCGGCGGGGTTGGAGGTCGTGCCGCATGTCGTTGAACTCAGCTCGTCGAGATCTTTCTATTGACACCGTCGGTGTCAAAAACAGAGGTTGGAATCTGAACTTGGGTATTTGGCCATTGATGGTTTGTGTGAGAGAGAACGTGAGAGGAGAGAGAGAATGAGCGAGAATAAGAGAAAGAAAGTGCAAGAACCCTAAAAATTTCACTATATAAAGTATCTGATTAAGGCAAGATTACGTGCCTGATCTTATCCTCAATTATTTCCTCTAAACAGATTAAATTTATACTGATTAGAGGTAATTAGTTTAGCTCACGTAAGTTAATCTACTACTTACAGTCCAATATCAATTTCTGAATAATTCAATATTGTTTTATATTCTTACTCGCGTAATATTTCAAACTGTTTCAAGTCTTAAAATTAATTTTAGACTGAACAAATTCTAAATTTTAATTTTCTGTATTCTATCCCGAGAATGACGTTTCTGACAGTGTCAACTCCCGAGCTCATATTGTATCCATCTACTATAGGTATTTATCTTGTGACTTTAACCTAACTGTTTGGCAATTAAGGATTTTTTTCTTCTTTTAAAATGTCAGTGCGTTTTTTTTTATATGCCGCTAACATCGTGCTGTGCTTAGAGATTCTTGAAATTAAGATTCTCAAACTATACTTGTACTGAAAATTATTCTGCCTTAAAATACGGCGAGAATTTATCGATCGAATTTACTTGATCGAAACATGAACTTAACATGAAATTTGCTATAGAATTTAGGAATACATATATTAATTCCATAAATCCTCCATTCACAATATAACATAATATTTTCTAAGAAAATCCTTGGCTTAAAAATACATGAATTGTATTATTTAAGGTCTGAAATTTTCTCAGTCATTACAACTTTTAAAATGCGAGAGGGTTTGTACAAGTGGCAAGTTATGCCATTCGGCCTTTGTAACGTGCCGAGCACCTTCCTGCGGCTTATGAACCATGTTCTCAAACCTTTTATCGGGCGGTTTGTGGTCGTTTACTTCGATGAAATTCTAGTCTACAGTAAAGACCCCGCTGAACACATAAAGCAACTTAAGGAAGTGCTAGCAGCCCTAAGGGAACATAAGCTCTTCCTCAATCTTAAAAAGTGTGAGTTTCTTACTGATAAATTACTTTTTTTTAGGTTTTGTGATTAGTGAGCGGGGCATTGAAGCGGGTGTGCGCAAAGTGGAAACAATCCGCAACTGGCCGACCCCCACTATAGTGCATGATGTTCGAAGCTTCTATGGACTAGCCACATTCTATCAGCGGTTCATTCGGCACTTTAGCACTCTCATAGCTCCCATCACAGATTGCTTGAAATAGGGTCGGTTCACTTAGGGGGCCGAACAAGAGCAGAGCTTCGCTCTCGTCAAAGAAAAGCTTAGCACCACACCTGTGTTGGCCCTGCCGAACTTTGATAAGGTCTTTGAGGTGGAGACTGATGCCTCCATGGTTGGCATTGGCGTGGTACTCACTCAGGATGGGAGACCAATTGAATTCCTCAGTGAGAAACTCAGCAAAGCCCGACGTAAATTTAGCACCTACGAACAAGAATTTTTTGCTGTAGTATGGGCTTTACAACACTAGGAGTCATATCTCATCTCCAAGGATTTTGTCCTACACAGCGATCACCAAGCTTTACGGTACATTCACTCTAAAAAGACACCAACCAAATACACACTAGGTGGGTCCCTTGCCTTCAACGGTTCAACTTTGTGATCCAACACAAGTCTGACAAATCAAACAAGGTAGCGGACACTCTCAGCTACAAACCGCATTTGCTCACCACCTTAGCAACGGAAGTAACTAGCCTCGAAAGCTTGCGCGACCAATATGCTGATGATGAAGATTTTGGTACCATTTGGTAGGGGTATTCGGCGGTTAAAAACTGTCAGTTTTGGTTGGTTCGGTGACCGAATCGACCGTGTCGGTTTTTAGAAACCAGGAACCGAAACTGAACCATAAAATTACTATTCGGTTCGGTTAACCGAATTTTGGTTTTCAGTTTTAGTAATCTGGATGGTAACTATCAGTTAACTATCAGGTTACCCGCATATTTAGTTGCATTTTTTGACCAGAAATTGCGAAAAAATGTAAAACATTCATTGTATGCAAGCATGTAATCACAATAAATAAATATAAAGCACAACATCCAAATTGATAATACCACAAACACAAAATATCCAAATCCAATGTCCAAAATCTAAAGTACAAACTAGAAATTTGAAAGTTACAACAAACAATACTAATGTTCAAAGTGTAAAAAACATTAAATTGGCATAAGAAATTAAGAAGTCTAAAGCATAATTAAAAAGCATAGTGAAGTTCATTTCCAATTTCTCATAAACCTCCTATTCCCCTTCATCCGAATCCAAATCCAAATCCATTATATCTTCATATGGCTACAATAGAAAATTAGAATTAAGTAAATGAAATTGAAAAGATAATGAGAAAAAAAGAAGAAATAGATATAACTCTAATTATCTTACTTGGGTCTTTTAGAAGATTCCGCATCATTTACTTGAGCGCTTCCGTCCTTTGAACACGTTGGAGTAGAAACAACCTCACCATCATCTACAAGAAAATTATAAATTAATTTACATGTGTCATGAAATGAATAAAAAAGATATAATTATAACAAGTATGTGTAGTATGTACAATCATGATTAGTATTACCTGAGACAACATGATAGCAATCTGCAAAAGATTCAACCTTATCCATATATTGCCTAAGAACCACGGGTTCATATTCTTCATCCTTCACGTTCAACTAACTTTTTAAGCAAATAAGTACTTTCACCATCCTGAGAGCCAATGAACTCCTAAAAGGATCAAGAATACGACGACCGGTAGAAAAAGCTGATTCAGATGCAACCGTCGAAACCAGAACTACAAGCACATCTTTAGCAATTTGGGACAAGACCTTATACCTAGGAGCATTTACTTTCCACCAACCTAGAATGTTAAAACTGTCATCCATTAGCTCTTCACATTGCTCAGATAAATACTTATCCACATAATTCTTCTGCACATTTACACCATTCCCACTCATCTTTTGCTTTCTAAACGTGGCCTCTATCTCATCATCAATAACCGGCATTGAGGCGGGCTCACTAGATGCCGTAATTGTTGAACGACTTGAAATACAACCAGAATAAGTTTCTACTGAGTGAGCTAACATTGTATTCCTAAATCGAGGTTTGGCCAACTGTGATAATTACGGTTGCTTAATAGTAGAATTAGGGGGGGAGGGGGATGACGAGGAGCCAAAGGTGGAGGAGGAGCCCGATCATGATATTCCTTATACAATCTACGCAATGTGTCCTCAACCCCTTTTAACAACGTGTTAGATGTCGAATCATTGTTGATACACTTGAAGGCAAGAGCAAGATAATCCAACTTATATCTTGGATCAAGAACCAAGCCAAGAAACATCATGTGATTCATTTTCTCGACATTTCCCCAATACTTATCAAATTTCTTATTCATCATTGTTGCCATTTCATTCAACATAGGATCATCACACTCCTCTAACTTAATCAACTCTCGTTTGACAGCACAAATATCTTTGAAATAGAAGTTTGAAGTGACATAATATGAACCATTAAACTTCTTCGTCAAAGTGTAAAACTTTCCTAAGAACCTCAGAAAAACCCTTGCATTGTCCCAATCCGTCTCATTTGGTGGACCCTCCATCTTTTTGTCTTTTATAACTTCATCAAAGTAAGCACAATAGTTTTGATCCAAAAGCAACCTCTCAAAAATGGGGACAAACTTGAAAGAAGTCTCCAACATTAGGTAGGTAGAGTTCCACCTCGTTTTCACATCCAAACACAATAGGGCAGTTGAGTTGATGTTTTCTTCTTCATGCACTCCTTAAACTTCTTGAGGCGTTGAGGTGAGGACCTCACATTCCTAACTGCATTGCGAATGCTTGCAATAGAATATGCTAAGTTCGTGAGCCCGTCATTAACAATCAAGTTTAGAATGTGACAGACACACCGCATATGTATCGCCTGGCCATCTAAGACAAGAAAATTAGGAATATCTTTGACTTTTTTCTTCAACCTGTCCATAGCCACATCATTGGACGATGCATTGTCCACTGTAACTGTGAACAATGCAGTTATGCCCCAATCATTAAGGTAAACCAAAATCTCATGTGCAACTGTTTCTCCTTTATGATTCGGAACTTGGATGAAATTAATGATCCTTTTCTGCATATTCCAATCTTCATCGATCCAATGTGCGGTCAAACACATGTAATTGATGTTCTGAATTGATGTCCAAGTATCAGTCATCAAACACACCCGTTGCTTTCCTAAAACCTTCTTCAACTTCTTCTTCTCCTCCAAAAACATTTGATAAACATCCCTCGCAATTGTTATCCTTGAAATGTCAAACACTCTAGGATTCAAGTACGCCGAATAGCGCTTAAACCCTTTACCTTCCACGTGTCGGAACGGTAACTCATCCAATACGATATACTCTGAAACGGCTCTCTTATAACCCTCATTGGACTAAGCTCTTAATGTCATAGTACTAGTAGCAGTGTCCTCCTCATGTGCTCCGATCTTTCTACTAAATTGGATGGTCTTTTGTTTGTTTTCACTCTCTGGATTCATCAAGCAACTTTATATATGACTTTTCATTGTAGACGTGCCATTCTTTTTCGAATCAGCGGCATAAGTGACACCACAATGCTTGTAAGTAGCCCTCTTGGTTTTTTTGTCCCTCGTGAAATGCTGCCAAACCGGGCTTACTTGTCGGGCTTTCTTCATTTTCTTAGTACATTTCCCTTCTTCCTCAGTTGTCTCTTGTGTTTCAGTAGTTTCGGTTTCTTTTTTACTAGATTGAGACTCTATCTCTTTTTGCTTTTCCGATGAAGACATCTATAAGAATTAAACTAAAAGTTAAAAAATCACATGCTTTCTTGTTGATGTTAATGATGAACTTTTATTATATCTATCTATTTGTATTAAGCTATAAGAATTAAGCTTTCTTGATGTGGCATAAATCCAAACACAAAACCAGAATTAGAACATGCTTGCAATATAAATCTTCTTTATATTAATAGCATGTGAATAATAAGAGAGAGGATATGGAGATTCCAGTTGTACACAATGCATTCAATCCAAAATCCTATCCTTGTCTTATGTTTCCTTTCGGTTTTGGTATTGCTCTAACCACTAAAAACCCAAACAAACACACCCACTTCTTCACTAAAAACTCTCCTTCTTTCTCTCTCTCTCTCACATTCCCTTACTTCCAAACCTTGGTAATGCCAAGGAATTCCTTGGATTGAAGAACTATTGTGAATACTTCACTCTCATCAAATTCTACCCCTATTTGATTTTCTCTAGCTTCTTATCTAATCTAAACCCTTGTTTCTAGATTCTTTTAATCCCAAAAAAAAAAGGAAAAAAAAAATGAGTTTTGTGAATCTGAGTACATGGGTCCAACCGTCCAAACTCCAAACCTGTTCTCAATTCCCCTTTCTTCAATCCCCTTTCACCTTCTAAAGAATAATTTCCCAATTCCCCTTTCTTCAATCCCAAAACGACACCGTCCGAGTCCGTCGTCTTCTCTCTCCACCGTCTCCGCCATGCTCACCTAGCAAAAACCTCTCCAAAATTCACATAAACTCTCCCATATAGATTACAGACAATGGTTCCTTTTATATTTTTCCCCCATTTCCCAGAATTCCATTCTAACATAATTTTAATTTAGTCATTGTGAAACAGCAAATAGAAATCCAATTTAGTCACAATATCAATATGTTTCCTTCCACAAA